TTCATTTCATGTTAAAATATTTTTTTAAAATATTTACATTCATTTTTTATCCGCTAATTATCATACTAATTAATTTTTATTTTATTTTAAGGAAAAAAACTTCAATAGTATTTTTTAAAATTCAAACCTAAAAATAAAACTATAATTATATATTTTCAAATAAAAGTAAATTTAAATTAAAATTCATGATTTAAACCTAATTGTATTTACCTTTTTTCTGAATGGACGAGATTGAAGATATCGCTTCAGTGGATGATGGAGGAGCTACTGGGGCGGCGGCGGAAGTGGCGGAAAGAGAAGCAGCAGTAGGCGGCGGAGACGAACAACTCGGTGGCTGAACTTGGGGATCGGACTCCAAATTAGGAATCTCCGCCGTCGCCGGAGACAGAGTAACGGCGGCCTCCTTCGTCAACGCATCACAGAAAGCTCTGTGAGTGATGAAACTATCTCTTCTACAAAAGTACAAAAAAAAGAGAATCGAAATCGAAATTCAAAAGACCCATTAAAGGAATTGACCAAACAAACAAAACCCATAAATTAATTTTGAAATTTGACCTTGAAAACACAGTTTCACAGTCACATCTGTACTCTCTGGTGCCGCAAATTTTAGAATGGGCTTTCCAATCCGACTTGACTGCGTATTTCTTGGAGCACCGGTCGCACTTCCACTTCTTCTCGCTGTGTTTCCGGCAGAAATGCTTCTTTATTCCGGTGAGATCGCCGAGGGCTCTCGACGGATGGTGGTGGACGCACGACGGCTCTGGGCAGACATACACTTTCTTTTTCACCTCTTTGCTCGTTCGTTGCCGGAGTTTCCATGGAAGATTATGACCTCGCCGGTGTAGTTGCAGATTCTGATCTCTTTGAAACCCTTTGTTGCAGATTTCACACACAAATCGATTTGTGGCCAAAAGGGTTTCCGGAGACAGAGCAATTACCTCTGCTTCCGGATCTGTTTCACAAAATCATTCAAATTTAAATGGAAAAAATAACAAAAAATCCAAATTTCACGACGAAATTAGCGGTTTTCACCTGGCATTCCTGGTAAGTTACGCTTCTTTTTCACGGCGGATTTGGGCGGCGGAGGCTGATTTCCAGTGGAGGAGATACTGGCTTCACCGGAAGTTTCTAAATCCGTCGGCATCTCGAATATCTGAAACGCCTTTTGACGGCGGCGGGATTGTTTTTCTAGGTTTTTATCGATCTTTTCTGCCTCATCTATCAGTCAACCTTCTTTATTTCATACCCACAAACTCAAACCCCATTAAAATGAAAGGGGAAAAAAGATCAAATCTAATGGGAGGCGACGGAAGCCGAAGGAGCCACTGATACCACGGCGGCCGGAAAACCAGTCTCCGGCGAGTAAACTCAAAATAAATAATCAAAAGGTCTTTGCAAGTTGTAAATGAAATATACCATCTGGGGTTCTCTAAAACTTATCTCCATAATCGTAGAACTTATAATACATAGCAAACCCAGAAGATCAGAGGTAGAAGACGATAAAAATGAAAATAAAAATAAAATAAAATATAGTTTGTACTGAGAATATGGAGAAAGCTTGATTTGAAGTCCTTTGTGTTGACTTTTGGGTAAAAAAAGACAAAGAGAGAGACCAAATTTTCGAAAAAATCATAATTTAAATGCTAAATTGTCTAATCATAGGATAATTTTTTAATTATATACGGATTAAAAACACAGTTTTTATCCTAAAAACTATTTAACTATTAAGTTTATTTTTATAATAATTTAATTTATGTAATAAAATACAGTGTAACATGGGATCCCACATCCATCCGAAGGAGAACAAATCATTGTTGTAGAAACCTCTCACTAACCGGGGCAGAGAAATTTCGAAAGAGAGTTTTGAAACCAAAATTTGAGAAATTGAAATTGGTGTTAAATGGGAATGTAAGTAAAAGGGAACAACAACGGCTTACTGCATGTCACTATCAGGTAGAGAGAGGTTAACAACTAATCATATCCCCTATAGTACTTGGGGCATTTTAGCCCTTGTAGGTGTATTAGACATGATTTTGGTCAACGGTCATACACCCTCGTACTAACCCAATATGAAATAGTAAAAAACTATCTAGAATGAAAGCATGTAAAAGTGGTTTGGAACGGCATGCAACCATGGACAACACATCCTGGACAATCAAGATCGAGACATCTGTCATGCGGCCATTGACAACACACCTTGGACATGCATGACCATGACAAACGCGTTTTAAAAACTTTAAACAAAAGGTATAATTAGTGATGAAGTCTAAAAAAGACAAATATCTCCTATTTGTCTATAAAATATGAAAATTAAATCATTTATGATTGGCAGATTAAATTGTTATAAATTAACTTTAAATGAAATATTCCTCAACTATTTATAATAATATTATAGATTTTAATTTTTTATTTATTTAATAGATTATCAAATTCTACAGGTAAATCTAAAAAAGGAGGGGAAAAAAGTTAAAAATGAAATTATTTAACTATAAATACATAATAAAATTTATGAATTATCTGATAATTTAACCGAATTTAAAATTGTGACGTCGAAAGGTTAGGGTTATACGACACTGAGTTAGGTCTGAGGAATTACCGCGTAAGTTGCCGGTTGCCGGTACTTGGTTGTCGTTGTCGTTTAGTGCCGTGTCGTATTTTGATTTTGGAATTGTCCAAACGGACAGCTCACCGGTTTGGGACTCTGGACCGGCTGCTTTGCTTTTCTTTAATCTTTAAAAGTCAAACTGCTTTTGTATTGACTTGGGATTTTCGCCTACCCTACTTTTGTATGCACGCCTCTCCACTATTTCCCGTACACTCAGCTGCATGGGATTGCTACCCCCATTTGAAGTGACTTTGTAATTATTCACTTTTAAAATAATAATAATTGATGTATTATTATTATTCGTTGAATTACATTCATATATTAAAATGTTTAATATTTCTGTTATTTTAAACTTTTTAAAGGTATGTCTATTTTATTTTAATTATGGATTTTTAAAAATTTTAAAATAATTTTTTTTTAACTTTTGAAGTTATGTTTAACTAATTTAATATTTTAAAATTTTTAATAATTCACTGAACCATTAGACTCTAAAATAGTATATTTTAAAATTTTATTTTCTGACTTGAAGTCATAGAACAACACATGATTAAAACGAAAATGTCATAAATAAAAGATAGAGGATGAGTGACTCAAACGAAAGTACTCCAAATCCACACCTTTTCCAATGGTCTTATGTGAGATCACATATCTGTTAGAGAGAGAAATTAATCATTATTTATAAGTGTATGGAAATCTCTCTACTAGATGAGTTTTAAAAATGCGAGGCTGACGATATGTAATGGGCCAAAATTGTCAATATTTGTTAGTCGTGAGCTTGGGTTGTTACAAATGGTATAAGTGTCAGTCACAGGATGGTGCGAGGCACTAGTCAAAGTAGGGATAGATGCTCTCCATAATAGACACATTTTAAAACTGTGAGACTCATGACAATATTGTTATTGATACACCTTTAGATATTGTTATTGTTGATCTGGTATAAAATAAAATACGAGATTTAAAGTAAGACTAGTAACGTAATAAATATTAGATGGAACGATGGAACCAACCCTGCTATGGCACACGAGCACCATCAACAGTCACAATTGATATAAAAACAAGGAGACAAATGACAATAGTCACCTAAATACAAAAACCATAAAAGAAAAATTTATACACGAGTTACCAGACAAAGAAACATCTTTATTAGATGAGGCCGACATAGCTTGAGATGACATCCACGAGGTCCTAGACGAAGAAAACCCTCTACGAAACAAAATCCACAATTTATTATTTGTAATTTTGATTTTTTTTTTAATGAAATTAAGTAAAAATACATCAGAATAGATTAATCATTCATGTTTAGAATCGTAATTAAGTGGATGATTCTACATTTGAACGAGTATCACTTTTTGGGTGTCTTGGGACCCAATGTCTATCACTTGATATCTCCTCCTACACATATATAGCATGAATCAACGTGATTTCTTGTTGATCCTTCCTTTGCAAATATTGGAAAAGGATAAGAAGGCCAAATGCAAAGTGTTCCTTTAATTCAAATGAATTGCATTCAATTTTGAAAACGACACAAAGGGAAAAGGAAATAATCTTTGATTTTGAGTGTTCTCGTCGTGGGTCGGGTCTCACTTTGTTTCTCTTTTTCTCCCTCTCTTATCTGACCGTTCAGTTCCAGACCTTCATACCTGTTTAATGAAAAAACAGACTGGTTCTGACTATCCCCGAATCATGTTGTATGCATGAACAAACATGAAGTGTCGAAATTTTTTTTATTTTGATTCATATATTTGTCAACATTTTGTTTTTAAAATATAAATGTTAAAAATATGTAGGTTAAGAAGATTTTACCATTCTTTTTAGTTAAAATTAGTGAGAATGAATCCAAGGTAAAAAATCAAAATTATAAAAAATACTTTTTAGTAACTTAATTAAAATAATTTAAAATCAAAATTATAAAAATACTTTTTAGTAAATAAAAAAATTAATGGTATATATATTTTTTAAATTTGGAATTATTATATTGTATTTTAAATTATTCAATTTTAAATGGAAATATTTAAATCGTGTTTACCTATAGTATGTCATAATTTGAAAAAAGATATCTCAATAAATATATTATATTTTTATTTTCAAAATATCAAAAAAAATTTATTCATAAACCACACTATTTTAAAATAAAGAATTATCGGTTTATTTAATTGTCGATACAAAAAAAAAATTATAATTATATCTGGTATAAATTTTTATAATAATATTTTTAATTAATTCGAACTAAGATGATTTAAATAATATTAGTGGTAAATTTAAATATGATATGAATCTATATAATTCTCAATTTGAAAATTTATTTTATTAATAAAGTTAAAAAATCAATATGTATGAAATAAATAAAAAAAATTAAAAACACATTTTATTGTTAATTTTTTAAGAAATACATTAAAAAACTGAAATAAACCTAGAGTTTAGGGAAAAATTAGGGGGTAGAAGACGAAGTTATTGTTCATCGCCGGAGCAGTTGCTGGAGAGCCTGATTGATTGCATATTACAAGAAAAAACCTGACCTTCATCGGTTTTTATCGAGTTTGAGAACTTCAACAGTTGCAGAAGCTTCTCGCTGTTCATTCACCCCGAGAGAGGAACGCGTAGAAACCTTCAGGATGGACCTGGACGACCTAGACGAACCGAGCCAGGTACCATCACGAACCTCCAGATTTGCACCGAAGACCTCTAAATTCAAGCCGAAGCCGAAAACGGAAGTAGTTCCGAAACCGGAGCCCCAACAGCCGCCAACGAAGTTGGAACCTGAAACTCCCGTTCCGGAGCCGGAAGTTGCAGAGCCAGATGCTCTAATTGGGGAGAAGAAGGAAGAAGGCGAAGAAGTTGAAGTAAAACCTAAAGTCGAAGCTTCACTTCCTAATGGAGTTGATAAAATGGATGTTGAAACTAAGTTGGAAGTTGAAGAGGAGACAATGGTGGATGATGATGATGATCCAATGGAAGAGGATGCTTCTGAAGATATGGTGGTTCGGGAAATCGACGTTCTGTTTACTCCTTCTCTTGATATCAATACGAAAGTTAGTCTTCGTTTCTTGCTTATTCATACTATGTACCATTGTTTTTTTCCCTCTTTACATTTAATTAGTTTTGAAATTTGAACTCGACTGTCATCTATTTCCAGTTATATGTGTTGCAATATCCTCTTAGACCACGCTGGAGGCCCTATGAATTTGAGGGGCGATGTGACGAGGTGAGCATTTTCTTTGATTCCTTTTTGTTCTTGAAGAATTTGAACCATACCCTTTTAATTTCAATAGGTAAGAGTTAAACCCACCACTGGGGAAGTGGAAGTTGATCTGAATGTGGATATTGAATCCAATAACTATGACAGTAAAGCCGATGCCAATTTGCAAATGAAGAAGCAGGTATCTTCTCTTATGGTTCTATTGATACTGGTAGTTCACTTTTATCAGATTTAACTTGAAAAAGAATGCTAGATTCGTAGGATTTTCCAAAAGGTGAAAAGGTGCAAGTTTTATTAAACTGAATTCGGCAACAGTTTCTAGCTGCATCTTAGTTCTTTTCGTTCTTTCTTTCCCCCTGTCGTATTAGTCTCGAGTTTCATCTCACTTGATGAACTGTTTTTCTTATCACATGATGTACTACGTTTCATCTGGTAGTAGAGTTATTTCTTTCGTGTACTATATACAAATGAGGATTGAGTTATTGGTGCTGTATTTTAGTGGATACCAACAAAAGCTTGTTTCTGGTTCAGACTTTGAAATCTTCATGGCAACCGCCTATGGCTACTTCCTATGCTGTTGGGCTGCTTATGGGTGATAAGGTTGTTTCCCTATCTCGCATCTTCTGAACTTTATTCTTTTCTTATCATTGATTGTAGATGATGGGCCTTTTTTTTTATTTGTTTCTCTGGTACTTGGTTCATCTTTTAATTTTGAAACAACAAAGGTTGACCTAGTGGTTAGTAAGAGTTAAAGGGCTTAGAGAGAATAGATTCGAGCTATGGCAGTCCTACCTAGAATTTAATATTCTATGAGTCTTATTGGTATCAAAATATAGTAGGATTTGGCACGTGTCATGTGAGAATAGATGAGGTGCGCAAATTGGCCTAGAACGGTACTTGAAAGTTACATAGCCATAACTCCATCAATAAACTAAACCACCCAAAGTAACAAAATTAATATTGTAAGAGGAATAGTTACAAAACACTTATACGCAGCACAATAAGAAGCCACATTTAGCTCAACAATATCAGTTTTATCTTCCAAAGGAGCTTGTTTGCTTTAAAAAATGTCCCCACAAAATTGGCTTGACCATATATATCCTTAAATTTTTTGTCTTCTCTTAAAACTATGATTGTAAAGGAGTTGGAAAAGATATAAATCTTGGGTTCTGTTGCCATTTTTTCGATAGGGAAACAACAAATATTTTGGTCCTGTTCCTGCTGCGAGGTTTTCTTTCAAATCCTTTTTTTGTTGTTTAGTGGACCCTTTCCTTTCCTTTCCCTTCCCAGCTGCCTCACTTTTTTTGTCGCTATGAAAGACTAAAATTTCCAAGAAGGTTAATTTTTTTTTGTTTGGCAAGTGCTTCACAGTAGAGTTTGCACATTAGATTGCATTATGAGGAAACATCCTTTAGTTAGGCTACTGTTTTATTCTTTGTAGAAAAGCAGCAGGAATATTGATCACCTCATTTGAAGTTGTCTGTTTGCTTCCTTGGCTGGGGACTTTTTATAAATATTTTTGGAGATTGTTTAGCTCGATCTATTGTGGAGGAGGTGATTCGATAACCCACCCTTTTTGGAAATGGTTGTTTTCTTTTGTTGGCCAACTTTTGTGCAATTGTATTAGAATTTTTGGTGCTTAAGAGAAACAATAGAATTTTTAGAGGTCTTAGAGTTTTTGGGAGGGGTCTCTGGGCCTTGGTGTATAAGAACTTTTGTAATTACTTTTTAAGTCTTATTTTGTTTCATTGGAGCTTTTTTTTTAGTCGACTCCTCTTCTTTGTGGGTTGTTTTTGTGTATTTTCTTTTATTCTTTCTTTCTTACTCAATAATAGTTGTATTCTTTCATGATGCCTTACATTGATATCTATACCTTGGATGAACATCACACCATTTTTTGAGTCTAACGTTGTATTAAAAATGGAAACTTATGCTTGGATGTGAATTGGGTCTGTTCCTATGATAGTATCCTGTGGGCTGAGAACACAAACTAAACTTTTATTTTGTATGGGTGAATTAAGAATGTTGCACTGCTTGGATGTGAATTGGGTCTGTTCCTACGATAGTATCCTGTGGGCTGAGAACACAAACTAAACTTTTATTTTGTATGGGTGAATTAAGAATGTTGCACCCTGCAGGATCTTGTACTATTGCATTCGTAATTGATTGAATGGGAAACCTAAATTTTGTACTTTGTAAAATTGATTTTTTTTTTCTTTTCTAACTAATTAGAATGAATGCAAGAATATTATAGGTTCCTATGTATTCCCCTAATTTATATTATGATGGTTGCCAAGACATTTGTCAAATTCTAGCATAAGGACTTGTTTGTTTCTATTTCCTTTAAAAAATAAATAACTATTGCTAGTGTTTCCATGGGTTATATTGCAGCTACACCTGAATCCTGTACATACAGTCGTGCAACTTCGACCATCATTTGAACACCTTAATTCTGGTGGCCCAAAAAGGAAAATTAATGTTAGAGCTGATCCAAATGTTAAGTCAGAAGAGCATACAGATGTTAACTCTGCAGGTGGATCAAGGAAGCAGGTTATTTTCTATTTTTTCTATTCTATACTAAATTACTACTGAAATATTCTCAACACAGATTTTATATTTATTTTGGTTACTGTAAAGTTATCAGTCTTTTTCTTTATAGGAAACAATTTCATTTTATTGATAAAATAAAATCATGAAATGATGAAATCCCATCCATTGGATTATAAAAAACTATTCCAATGGGCCACAAGGGTAGATAAATTATACTACAAAGGGAGCTCAATTTACAGCATGAAAGAAATAGATAAGTAATTATGAGAGATGTGATTGGAGATCTTGTTCCTTGGCTGAGAAGATGCGAGAGTTATTCTATAACCAAATAGACAGACAAAAAAACTTGGATAAAGTTGAGCCATTTTCTTTCATGAAGGAATGCCCAGTGAATATGAGAGAAGGGAGGACCCAAATATCATAAGGAAAGGCAATCTGCCACCCAAATGTCTCTAGGTTGTGATCTCAAACAAATCTAGCCAGTTTGCTCCAAATGAAAAGGCAACTGTGTCATTCCTCTTCACTTTTGCACAATATGCAGCAGCTATGAGAGATGGCAATCCTAGGAGATATTCTTTGCAGCTTTTCGTGAGTATTGAGGCATGAATGACTAAGTTCTCATATAAAAAAACTTAACCTGTTTAGGATATTTTCCATTCCAAATGGAAAGGTAAAGATCTCTTTTAAACTGCATCAATACTCATGACAGATTACTGAGAATTTGCAATGGCTGGCTCTTTCCCCCTCTATGTTTAGTTTGTGTATGGAAAGAGAGGAGAGTATAGACCATCTTTTCCTCCATCGTTATTTCCCTAAAAAGGCTGGAATTTTCTGTTTCGTACTTTTGGGCTTTATGCATGCACACTTACAATCAATTCTTTTTTAATTACCCAATTGCGTTTATTTTCAACTTTTTTTTAATTAGCTCCTTGGGCGGGGGTTCTCTCTTCCCCTGCCCCTAAGTTGTTCTTCTACTGTTTTGTCTAATACATATGTTTCTTATAAAAAGAAGATAAAGATCTCTCTTACGATGATTGCTGGCTGAGGATAAGAACTTGACAGAGATATTGTAGAGAAAACCTTATCCTTTAGACATTATCCATGGGATGGGCATATTGCACTAGCAAATATATTTGGGTAGAAAGAGATATTTCAGCGCTATGCAACATTATTATGATCGTTGATCAAGAGCTCTTAAGTACCAATTCAAATGTGCGCTGCTGTAGGTAATATATATATAGACATATATATTATTCTCCACATTTTACATCCCTTAGCAGCTGTTTAGCAATTTGAGCCCAGACATGGTAGTTTGTTGCTTCGCCAGTCAGAAGTAGCATAAAGGGAGAAGGCTATTTGGCAGAGATAACCGTATTGGAGGACTATTTATTTATTTGCAGCATACCTTATTTCTTTGAATACCACGTTTCTTAACTTTTTTTTCATAAGCTAACTTGCTGACCCTATCATTATATTGCATTAGTTCACATCTGAGGTTTCATATGTGTTCTGGTATTTATGGACTTCTCTCTTGTTTTCTTGAAACAGAAGAAGCAAACAGGACCTTCAACGGAACCTAAAACTGGAGATGAAGAGGTAACACCATTGAACTTGAGTGCTCAATTACTACTAGTGGGCTTAAGATAGTTTTTGAGAAAAGAAAAGTATTTTTCCTCTTGAACTTTTGGAAGAGCCACTTAATTAAGTGATGCTTCTAGTAGTAGTTTAGTGCTATAAATATTCTTAGGATTTTCGAAATCATTTTTTAAATGTGTTTGGATTAAAAAAAAAGCATTTCACCTCTACATAAGTCACCTCAACCTTAGAATAGAAGTGCCTTACTATTGAATCCATCATTTTATAGTTGTCTAATTGTTTGGTTCACTTATTTTCTCTAGTGCTGGATTCCACTTAAGTACTATGGTCTCGAGAGTGATCTATCAACCAGACATCTGCGAAGCATGGTGGCACAAAAAAATTCCCCCATGCAATTTTCAATGAGCCCGTATGTGTTTTTTGCTCGTTGATGCATAAAATCTTTAATACGGTAAATTCATCGATTTAATAATATTTATTTTGAGCATTTGATTTGGTTCTACTTATTTCAGGCATGACTATGTGGACTCCTTGTGTCCTGGTGCGAGCTCAAGTCGCAATAAGCCCAAAGGTCCATCTAAAAGGTAAACACATTTGCACGCTCCGGCTGTTTAATATATGTTACCGAACATTTAACTAGTCAGGCAAGTAATTTGGGAGACTTCAAATATTTACTGATGTCTTAATCCTACTGATGGACATTTCAGGTTTTTACTTTCATTGTCTTTGGAGGAGCGGATTAAGAAATTGCTGACTGAGGTTTGTTTGTAAGATGAATACTTGTGATTTTTTTTTCCTGATTGCCATAAGAAGATATCAGTGCATGTGCACATCTACTCTATCGTCTAACTTTTATTCAGTATTAGCTGGCTGTATATTCCATGTCCATTTATGCATTCATCAACCATTTGTTATTATCATGAGATCATATTTTCAAATTGTGCTCTCTCAATTAATCAAGGGATTTTTTTTTGTCAAATATGCTTATTTATTTTTTTAGTATCTGGGTTTTTGGTCAAGATACGCCCACCTCGGCTAATCTCATAAGACAATTGCTTAACCCTACTACATTTAGTTGTCAATGAAACTCATTGTTTATTTAATCTTAAGTAGGCGGTGACCATAGTTTGAACTCATTTCTTCTATGTTTTTTACATTTTTCATTGTTCCTATGACCACAATGTCAAACCATAGTGATTATTGTCATTGCTATTTAAAAATATATAATATAACTTTTATTAAGCAGCATCACCAGAAGCATATCACGAAAAATGATTGTATTGAGCATATAAAAAAAAAAGTTGTCCAAAGTATGATGAACGAGACCAATCAATTTCAATTGCTTAAAGTGAACAGAGAGGACTGTCTAAAGCCTAAGGTTAAAATTAACCTCCACAGCTTTAAAGCATCACATCCGCTAAATAAAATCCATCCCACATTTTCATTTTGTTTTTTATTTTTTTATATGAAGTTAAAAAATATTGCAAATCCTTTACAAATTTGCAATTGGGTGATATTTACCTCCTTGCCCTCTCGATCAAAGTACAGTTTGGAATTGAAAGGGGAAGTGGGGGGAGGTGCTAATGCTTATAAGGAAGTGCATTATCTTTTTATCAGTCTTTATATCATGCTGATTCATTGTTGATGACTTATTCCGTGTTTGTTTTGTGAATAATCTTTTTCCTCCTTTCTAATAGGGACCTCCGATTCAAAGATTTAGTGCACTTAAGCATTATGCCCCTGATTATGAACCAGACGAGTTTATCGAAGCTCTTCAGCAGTATGCTCAGTCGGTGCAGGGTCTCTGGGTTGCAAAAAGTTCATTTTTACTTCCGCAAGATGGCAGTGGACGTTGTGCTAGGGATTTTGTTCTTTCTTTGTTTAGCAAGAATCCAGTGGTCAGCTCTTCGCAGATAAATGTTCCAAAGTCTCTTCGGGACAAAGTGAAACATTTTTTGAATTGGTTTGGTGTTGAAAGACCTGCCTTTAAGGACTGGAGATTTAAGGAGAAAACAGATCGTTTATTTTTGAATAACTACGTGGATATTGTTCAAAAGCAAGAAAAGGTCTGGCGATCTGTGGAAGAAGGTATCACTAATTCTTTCCGGGGATCTGTGAAAAACATGTCCCATGCAAACGCTGCGCCAGTAAAGCCTGAAATGGTTCCTAAACCTGAAAAACAAGTCATTCACGACAAAGCTTCAACTAAAAGCAGTAATGCAGCTCTTAACCGCAAAAGTACCATGTCGGATGAAACTCGAGAAGCTTTACCAAAAGCCCTTCAAAAGCTTTTTCAAACTCACAAGGTTTGCAGGTAGGGGCCGGTTTTCTTCTTGCTTGTGCTTATCATTATGAGAGTTTTCTTGGTTGGAAAGGACTGCTACTTTCTTGAATAGTATGGCGTGGAATTTTGATGAGATTTAGGATATCATTGCCTTTTAACGTCTTTTTGTCATGCTCTTTCTATCATTTATTAACTTCAATAAATGATAGGTTTCTTTTAGATGGGAAAACATGTATTCATCTGTTCGGTACGTGTTTATAAGCACTTGTATTGTTCCTTTGAGCTGTTTTTTGGGGAAGTCTTCATTTTGTAATAGCCTCGAGTTATCTATCATGTGACATCGTAATCTATTCTTCCCGTGGTGTCATGGAGAAGATGAATCTTCATGTAGCAAAGCTGATGCGGTTGCCTTATTATTGTAGCTTTCAGTTGATATGTCAAGGTTTGCGTGATTTGGCCGTGTCCCAGTCTACTCTTCCAAAAGCTGATGCCAGAATGGCGGTGGCTGCTGCATATGGTGTTGATGCTCCTCCAGATGAATTAAAAAGAATCATCTGCCAAGTTGCTACTGAGATTCATGGTCTCTATGTCTTGACATCATCTCCAGAGCATCCAGAATATGATCCATTAAGGTTGCTGGTGAATTATATTCATGGTCAAAGTCTTTTATGTGAAAAACGATGTTTGCATTATTTTTCCATGTAAGAACACGATAAATTGGCATCTTTGTTTTTAACTTCATGCTGCACTATGCAGGAAAGTTGTCATTCAACTTTTACGTGGACGTGGACCTAAAGCAGTGCTTAAAAAAGCTGATGTTTTGGAAGCTTCCAAGCGTGAACTTGGGAGAGCAATCAATAGCAATGAATATAGCAAGGTTAGCCACCATGTTATTCAATCTCTCACTCATTTGAATTTCTTCCTGCATGGATAGGAAACCTTTTTAATAGATTTTGGTTCTTATGCTACCGAAATATTCTGGTTGAGGATCTTTATTGTTCAGTGATTATTTTTCTTTTGACGTGAAACATTATTGTTCAGCTTGAAATCTCTTGCATTTTCTAAAAGCGCCGTCAATCAGGATTGATTTTATGCACTTTCTAGTGACGATCTTTTATCCCAGGATTGGCTCGTACAATCATTATGAATTAAATAAATGTTTCGGCCTTCTTCACTGGTGTCAAGATATATGATTCTGCTCTTACCCTGTTGCCTTTTGTGCAGGTTATGAACGAAATTTGTGTGTCCCATGGTTCTTCTTGGGCCTTGAAGAGTGGCGATGGAAATTCGAGATGACTAGGTTCCTCTCGTGAAATTCTGAGCACAATTAAAGAGGTTCAAGGCAAAGCCAGCAACCAGATCTCCTCACTCTGCTGTATAACTTTCTTTACTCTTACTAGAAAGTATATCAAATTACCAAAAGCATAGAGAGAAAGAGAGAAGTTGTTGGTTTTCTTTGCTCTGATTGATAAAATATGCATTTTGCAAATAAATTGAATGCCATTTCCCGTGGCCCTCCATCATTTGATCCACATCCAAATTTTGACTCATAGTTATAATCCTCCATTTATCAATGATGCAAAAGCCCATCTGAGCTAATAAGATTTCAAATTATAGTAACTTTTAGAAAGAGTAAACAGTGTGAAACTGTTCATTTCGCTGTTTGATGCCAAATTACTCTACTTTCTTTATCATCAGGTACCAAATTCCAGCGCTGGGAACCTTCTTTGGCAGACTGAACACTCCTTAATGTCGTTGTGCAACACAAAAATTTTGAAATGTACAGACAAAGGTAAATACTATCCCTCTTATAATAAGATTCAGCAGCAGCTTATGTAATGCAAACTCAAACCACTGCACAATATTAGGTGATCCTTTGAGTGTTGGCAATGAACTAAGAGCTTCCGGCGTTGTTCTCTGCTTTGGTGGTGTCTTTTATTAACATTAGTTTGACGACGCTTTTGTTTTCTTGTAGGTTAAAAGATGAAGTTAGTCTTTGAACATTGTTTATTTAGTGTTCAAATTTCAAAAAGCTTAGACTATGTTCTTAAATTTATCATGTACGCTTCATTAGATACAATTTTGATGATGATGATGATGGTGTTCGATCTGTTGTCACCAAATTCTTAGTACCTTGTTGAAGAACCAGGCTGATATAGAGACATAATAAGTTTACTCTTTTAGACCCAACCATGTAACACTCTAATTTTCTTAACCTAAAAACCATTATGCGGGTGTTTTGGGTCAATTTGATTCTAAAGATTGACGTTTACTTGAGTTTTCGGAGTCGAATAGATTTAGTGAAATATGAATTGTGTTCTATAGCTATTTTTGGATTATGCGATCCTAATAGAGCCCCTTTTGATTAATGAGGTGGTGGGTTTGGCTAGGGAAATGTATCATACTTTTTGGAATGATGGTTCGACCTCCTTGGTCTTGAGGGGTGGTGAGCAACATGTAGCTCGATAATCAAAAGGGGCTTTTCAATAAAGGAAATCCAAGAAAATCATTCTACAATTTCTCCCTCTAATTAAGAAATGTTCTATATCTCCATAAAGTGAACATCTCATCTCTCTAAGAGAATTTAGTTTTAGAATTATAAAGTCTATTGAATACTATAAAGAAGACTCCACGAACAAAAGATGTTCATAGCACCGATCCCCTCTAAAAATATATGTATATAAGCATCATCCTCAATTTTGAATGCAAATATTTTAAATTAATTACATTAGCAAAAATAAAACATCAATAAATATTGTAAATTTTTTTATTAAATTAAAAAATATATAACTTGACAAATTATATTAAACAATTTTATAAAATAAGCATGTTAATAGTTTAGACTCATACTTAACATTTAGTTATATTCATACAACTTCATGGTAAATTTGTAAGGTATTTACTCATGGTAAATATATTTTTAAATTTTTAAAAAAATATTTAAAGGTGCTTTTGAAATTTAAAAAAAAAATTAAGGGTACAAAATATTTTTTAGTATATTTTTAAAGTTAAAAGATTATTTTTGAATTTTTTTTCGTACCAAAATTTAAATATATATTTTTAGATTTTTTTTTTTAAAATTTAATTGCGTTTAAATAAAATACAAAATTTAAAGATGTTTTTATTAGTTTAACTTAAAATTTAAAAGGCGAGAGATTATAAACGGAGTCTCAATTCAAGGTAAAACCCTCCCAGACTCGCACTTCCAGAGTCGAGACTTAAAACCCTAGAAATGTCCTCCATCGCCACCCGCCACATCCGTCGTTTATCGACGGCAGCCACCACCACCGCCACCGCCACCGCAACCGCTGCTGTCAAGGCAACAGCAACGACGTCCTCTTCAATATCCATTTCAAAAGCGAAATCTAAACTAAGAACCGAGTATGATCCAGATAAAGCTCTGAACATTTACTCTTCTGTTTCCAGTCACTACACTTCCCCTGTCTCCTCTCGCTACGCTCAGGAAATCACCATTCGTCGCCTTGCAAAGTCTCGTCGATTCGACGACATCGAATCCCTGATCGAGTCCCATAAAAATGACCCGAAGATCACTCAGGAGCCCTTTTTATCCACCTTGATTCGATCCTACGGTCGAGCTGGTATGTTCGAGCACGCAATGAGGACTTATAATCAGATGGAAGATTTCGGCACTCCTCGATCGGCGATTTCCTTCAATGCGCTATTATGTGCATTTAACCATTCGAAGCAATTCGACAAAGTTCCTCAACTGTTCGATGAAATTCCGAAGAAATACAATTTCTCTCCCAATAAGATCTCGTACGGGATCCTGGTCAAATCCTATTGCGAATCCGGTTCTCCCGAGAAGGCCATGCAAATTGTAAGGGAAATGGAGGAAAACGATGTGGAGGTTACTGCGGTGACATTCACAACCATTTTAGATGCTCTGTACAAGAAGGGCGAGAGCGAAGAGGCAGAGAAAATCTGGAACAAGATGATATCAAAAGGGTGTGAACTCGATGTAGGGGCCTATAACGTAAGATTGATGCACGAGCACGGCAGCAAGCCAGAACACGTTGAAGCATTGATCGAGGAAATGGCTAATTCAGGTATGAAACCCGACACCATTAGCTATAATTACTTAATGACTTGTTATTGCAAGAATGGGATGATTGATGAAGCAAAGAAGGTGTATGATGATATGGAGATAAATGGGTGTAACAAGAACGCTGCAACTTTTAGGACATTTATGTATTACCTCTGTAGAAATGGGGATTATGAAAAAGGGTATATGGTTTTCAAGGAGAGTGTGAAGGTTCATAAGATTCCTGATGTTAACACAGTGAAGTATTTGGTGGAGGGGCTAATGGAGAAGAAGAAGATGAAAGAGGCCAAGGGTTTAATCAGGACCATAAGGAAGAAGTTCCCTCCTGATTCTTTGAAGGCCTGGAGAAAAGTTGAGGAGGCTCTTGGTTTGGCTTCTTCTTCTTCTTCTTCTTCTAAGGCTGATGATGAAACTGAAGAATAAGTGTTTAAGTTGAGCTACGTTGTTGTTGTTCTTGTTGAGTGTAATGCTTTCTTCTCTGATTTTTTAGTCCCTAATTGAACAAGTTTTGTTTTGAAAGCTGCAGATTGCTATCAGTTGCTACTATGGCTTGCTATTAGAAGCCTAGATTATGAGTCATGGGGCTATATAGAGCTGTAAAAGCCCCAATTTTTTTCAATAGATTGTTAGCCTTTCTTATAGTTTTCAAAAAGTTTTATGCAACATTCAAATGATAGGCATGACAACAAATTGGCTGCTATATTCAATTGTTGACTAAGAAGATCAAGTAAACTTGGCTGGAGTGACATGAATTATGAGAAGGTTTAATATTTTGATGTCTTAGAAATGGATGGATAGATGTATTGAGAAAAGAAGTGACAAATCCATTATGCCCTCTATCGTCTATCTTCCAATTAGGGTTGTTGGTAGTCCGAAAACCACCCCAACCTATGAAAACTAACCAACCGACCTTAGTTGGTCGGTTTTAATGATGGGTTGGTGATAAAATTGGTCGGTCGTTCCTCTGAAAAATGCAAAATTCGATAAATAGATATATTTATATTCTATTAGTTTCTAAATTAATTGTGTGTGAGATCTCATATTGGTGAGAGGAGGGGTACTTGAAGCATTTCTTGGAACAATTCTGGTAAGAATGTAGAAATCTTTTCGTTATAAAAACTCTGTTTTAAAGCTTGAAAGAACAAAATGGCGACATGAGATGCCATATCTTTGCTTCAAACCTTCTTTTTGCCGGCAATTGATGGTCCAACGTCGTGGCCGGTGGGCGTAGCCTTGCTGCAACGCGGCAGCAGCCCACGTAGCGTGGCTAAAACTCCCAAACCCAAGAAAGGGAGATACAGTTTCAACAGCAGTCCAGATGCCCTCTGTGACCCTATCAATTCAGCTGCTATAGCAACCTGAAAAAAGAACCTAAAATAGGCTTATTCATTTACAACCATCCGTTGGAGAGGAAAACAAACATTTATTTAGGAGCCTGAAAACCTTTCCCTAGTAAATACATTTTTAAAATTTGAGAAAAAATTCAAAAAGAAAAATTCAAAGAAGATATTATTTGTTAATGGCGGGCTTGAGCGGTTGCAAGTGATATCAGAGGCAAACACGGAGGATGTGCCAGTGGGGAGGCTGAGCCCCGAAAAGGGTGGACACAAGGTGGTGTATCACTCCGAAAGGGAGTGGATTGGGAGTCTCACGTTGATTAGAGAAAGAAATAAGTGGCAGGGGTGAACACAAGGTGATGTGCCAGAATAGGACGTTGGGTTCCAAAAAGAACGAGTACCAGTTAGGACGTTGACTCCAAAAGGAGTGGATTGTGGATCCCACATCGGAATTCCCGGTTAGGAAAAGAGAAAGTTGGAGAAGGAGAATATGTGGGCAATTATAGAAATTCATCAATCACATGATGGTAGGAGAGAAGTAGAATATACCATAGCAGTGAAAAGGGAGACGCCATAGATCAAACAGGTGGTGTGCAGCCATGACTTTGCAGCCCAGATGGCGTAGAGGTTGAAAACCGTGAGCGGCCATTGAAGGAGAAGCTCCAGCCAAAGCAGGCCGACGAAAAAGGGAGGCGCCTCGGCCATCAGATAGTCTCCCGACAGTCGAACGTACAGCTCCTTGAAATCAACAAGAACATCGGGGAAAAGGGCTCCGGGGAGCAATAACTGGGCGCCGATGAGCGGCGGCGCCATGGCATGTACAAATAAGGACACAAATAGAACTGAATCGAAGAGCTTCAGAAGAACCCCCATTGCTTCACCTTACACAGATCTGGGAGAGACGTTGACTTCTCACTTCCCTATCCAATTTACCACTCATTTTCTTTCATCCAAATTTAATTTAATTTTTATTTTTTTTATTAATCTTAGTTGACTTAAATGACCATAATAATTTCTCCGTGATATATGATTTTATATTTAACATTAAATTACAAATTTAGTTATTTAGTTATTCAATTTTCAAATTCTGTGTTAACTTTAAATATATATAAATAATTTACAAACATTCACTATTCATTTTATATTTAATAAGTCAACTTAAAAAATATTTAATAAATTCTTAAGAAATTTATAAATATTCAAACATTTTTAAAATTTTTAAATATAAAATTCAGTTTTATAGATAAAATTTTAAAAGTTTGGAATATTTTAACCATTTATGAATTATTTTTAAAATTTAAATATTTATTAGACACAAAATTAAAAACACTAGGGAAAGTTTTGTTGCCAACTTTGACTATGATTCTACGTTTATCATATCGGATTCAGGACAGTCGCTTTGTCCGACAACGGCAGCGAGCTCACCACTTTCAGTGACGACTCGGCTTGGTAAAAAATATTAGTACCATATATAATTTTTTTTTTTAGAAAGTAAAAAATATAAGAAAACCTTTTATATATATATATATATATATATTTAAACATTTATAAAATTAGCTGAAAAAATGGGTTTTTTTTTTTTTTTTTTTTTT